AATGTTTACTTACTTTTGAGACAGAGACAAGAGTACAAGTCGGGGAGTGGGAGGCAGAGAGAGACACAGAAACCGAAACAGGCTCCAGGCTCCGAGCTGTCAGCATAGAGTCTGACACAGGGCTTGAACCCGCAGACCACAAGATCATAATCTGAGCTGGTCAGACACTCAACTGAGTGAGCCACCCAGGCGCCCCATGATTTGGTAATTTCTTAAAGAGTTAAACATCTATTTACCTTCTTTCCAGAATTCTCTCTGCATATTTTGTATAAAAAGAGCATACGATTATTGAAAATTGAGAGAGACACCTGAAAACTAGCCTTAATTTTTATTTTGCATAATGTTGCTAGTTTATTTTCCAAGTTTGAGTTCTCTCTTAGTTCAGCCACAGTCTTTCTTTTAGAGTTTTTACTTACCTGTTCTTAACAACCCCCTAAAGTGTTGTTGGCAGCTGAGATGGCTCTTGTTTCATCAGCCCCCTGAATTTCCATAGTGGTGGCCAGGGTTTCAGGGAGTGGAATATGAATGGAAATGTGAAGGGTGAACAAAGAGTTTAAGTAGTTTAGTGTATAAACTGGTTTATGGAAGGACAGGCTTGCTTCTCTGCTTCTTGTTTTTTATATGTATAATCAAAGCTCAAAGGATTGTGCTGGTTTTGAATGTTAGCTTTGGCACTATTTTGAGATTGTAGACATGGTGTCTTTAAGGAACTCAGGAGATTGGACTAAATAAGAGTAAATCCAAAGTCAAGGGAAAAAGCCTAGACTTTGAAGATAGTCATCTCCACAGCCATCAAGCGACTGACTTGTCTTTTAATTTCAGGAGCATTTGTTTCATCTTAAGAAAGTAGTCTTCTCTAAAACTAGGAGTTTTGACTAAATGGAGTTAAGTAAGTATACTTGGCTATCAAGGGGAGGAAAGGGAACAGAGTAATTCTGGAGAATTCATAGCAACAGAAAGACTACCAATCCTTTTTCCCCCACCAAAAGACCTCCCCCTTTTTAAATGTTTTTGTTTTGTAAAACAAAATGTTTTGTTTTGTTTTGTTGTAAATGTTTTGTTTATTTTTGAGAGAGAGAGAGCCTGGGGGGGGGGGGGGAGACAATTTGAAGCAAACTCCGCACTGACAACAGTGAGCCTATGTGGGACTTGGACTGATGTACTGTGAGCCGAAGTTGGACACACTACCAACTGAGCCACCTAAGCACCCCAAAAGACCTCTACAAATTTAGAAATTTTAAGTCCTATAAGAATTTCTAGTGGAAGTACAGTTTTCTTTAAGTAAGTTAAAATTATGGTACAATATCTACTAATTTATTTTTTTATATACCAAATAATTATATGCCATAATAATGTTTTAACTTTAATACACCTTTAAAATTTTACAGTATAAGTTCATGCTGTTCTTACTGTTCTATTAATGTTAATGCTAAAAATTTTTGAGGGGACAACAGTTATATTCTCTATAATACAATTTTGGTAATATTTGTTTATCTAATTATGCACTACTAAATTTGATGTGGGGAATATTATTTTTAATGGAACATTATTTTTTAATGGAATACAATTTTTTATCCAAAAGTTTGCTTCACACAATGTAATTGTGACATTGTGTTCTTAATTATGCCCTCATTTTACAATTCTTCTATTGCAAAATTGGTATATTACATGCATTTCTATTTGGTGTTGTATTATTACATATTGAGTAAGATTTAATTTCTGGTTCTGAATAAAATCAGTACCATTTACCAATTTTAGATGGAATTCATACTAATCCTTGAAGTCTAATATACTCTAAAATAACTAAAGCACTAGAAATTTTAGAACCCAAGCCTGTAAAGGTATTTTCATTCTAAGCCAGTTAGTATAATGATACCTAATATTTAATATTCATAAGAGTAAAAATATTTATAAAATACAAATTTCAAAAGTCTGGTGAATCCAACAATGTATTTCTCCCCATAGTAGAAGTTGATCCCTGTATTTCACAAATAAAATTTAGTAAGTTGCAAATATATTTAGAATGTCCTCATATTCCATCAACTGCAACAAATGTATTATTTTGGACAGATTTTTCTTTTGAACAGAATTAAAAGCTCATCCTTATGCTTTTACATCTATGGAATTAATTGCTTTGACTTCATGACTGTCCTAGTGATTTAGTTAGAAGGATCCTGAAATTTGAAGTCAGAAGGTCTTAATTTCAATCTGTCATTTACTAGTAGAGGCAACTTACTAAACTGGTTTTCTTTATCTTTGAGTATGAATCCTATTATAAATTGATAGAGGAATTAATGAAAATATAAATATGTCTTAACAGGTGTTTTTATCAGAAACATCAATCATCTTTCTTTAGGAATGGTAATTACCATACTCTCAAGACAGAGGTTATAAATGGAGGAGAGAGGGAGCTGCCATGGAGGGGGATTTTGTAGGGTAGGAGACTTAAACAATATTAATTTTTTTTCTTGGATGTGGGTATTCATCATTCTGCATATTTTTCCATGTCTTAAATATTTCTTAATTTTTAAAAATAATCTTTCCGTGTGAAATACAAGAAACTTTCCCATGAAATATCTTAACCATAAAGTGTCTCACATTTTTCTATCAAAGGATACTGCTTCCTAGGACACTCTGAAATGTATGCTTCATAATTCTTGCTTGCTTGGGACCTGCTAGTCAGAATATCATTTCCTTCGTGCCATTCTAGTTATGTTATATTGCACAAAGTGTCACGTTTCTACTATGTGTGTTAAGTAGATGTCAGAGGTCACAAACAGTTTTGGGATTGAACATGACTCTTAGACGTATTCTTTGTTCTTCTGCATAGTATTGGTCTTTAAGGAAACTTAAAGTCTCATGAAAAATCAAGGAATTTTATAACTTTGGGTTTGCATTTCTGTATGACAGCAGTGAGTAGCTGCTGAATATCCGCTGCCTCCTTTAGCTAGGCCGTGTACTCCACTCTTCTGCACCCTCACAGTGCTCCCTGATGACTGAGGCCAAATATCACTTGCCTTTTATCATCATAAACGTTTGTGTTAACTGCTTGGCCCCCATAGACAGTTTAGTTTATAACTCAGATTATATTCAGTAGATATCACATGTTCTCTTGATATTTTGCTGTGATATTTTAACTTGACGTTAGGTATTTTCAACATTTTGTAACTTTATAAAGCTCCCTTACATACATTTTCTCTACTAACTTATGACATAAAGTACTATTTTTAAGCTTGTCACCTCCTCCTCCTCCTCTCCTCTCCAGCCAGTCCTTTCATGTTACCAGTTAATTGTTTCTCAGATCTAGTTCTTCCTCTGTAGCCTCACCACCACTGCTCCACCTCAGGCCCTCATCATCCCTCACCTGGCATTCTTTAATTGCTTCCTGACCAAGCTCCTCACCTCCAGTCACATTCCTTTCAATTCATCATCAAGTGTATTGCTAGAATGATGTATCGAAGTACAGGTGTCATCTCCTCACAACACTGTTTTAAATTCTCCTAAGTCTCTATTTCTATGGTGAGATCTGTAAACTTTTCCTTAAAGGTCCAGAGAATAAATATTTTAGGCTTTGCTGGCCCGAAGTTTCCTGTCACAAAAAATTGACTTTGCAACTGTCGGACTAAGCACAAAAACACCCATAGACAGTGTACAAACAAATGGGCATGGCTGTCTTCCAACAAAATTTATTAACAAAACCAGATCATTGGTCTAGGGCCATAGTTTGTTACCCCTTGTTCTAGGATGTGAAAGCCTCTCCCTATCTTTTCCTCCTGTATTATCTACTAATCTTCCATCCTGTTTTTATGGCTTATTCAGAAGCACCATCCAAGTGGTTAAACCATCTTGTACATCTTCTTTCTATATCCAATTAAAGTCTTTTCTTTCAAGCCATTTTTTTCACAGAGTAATTTTAGTATATATCTTATAAAATGTTAATTCTCAAATGATGGTATATATTCATGAGGTTATTTATATTTAGTCACTTGCTGACATCTTTATAAATATATGGTGAAGTACAGTCGTAAGTGTTAAAAAGTTTTTAGGGAGTACGTGGGTGGTTCATTTGGTTAAGTGTCTGACTCTTGACTCAGCTCAGGTCATGATCTCGTGGTTCATGGGTTCCAGCCCCACATTGTGCTCCATGCTGACAGCAGAGAACCTGCTTGGGATTCTCTCTCTGCCCCTCCCATGCTCAACCTCTCTCTCCCTCTCTCAAAATAAATAAATAAACTTAAAAAAAGGTTTTAACAAGTTCTTCATGAAAATGCATACACATAACCTTGCTACAATCCATGTTATCGTAGATACCATCAATACATTAATCTGAAAATCTCAAAATAAGGTCACTGGTAGGAAAGTAAGTTTAGTTTCAATGTTAATTAACTGTATTGAATCAAAGTGCATTGAGAAAACAACTTGAGGACATTCAGTAGGAATTGAAAGCTTGTAAATCACATTGTGTCCCATCATCATCACAGTTGCCCCTTTCAAATAAAAAGTCAGAAAAAACTTGCTTTTTGGATATGACTTACCTGATATATTGGAGTTCAAGTTGCTACTTAAATTCCATTAGGTCACTTTGCGTGTTTCCATATTCAAAAAAACCCCAAAACTTGATAATATGTTGTTAAATATATTAACAATGTGGGTTTAACTTAATCAATTATTTAGGCTATTGCTGATTGGTACTGATTTAGGTGCTGATTTAGGGTATTGCAGATTGATGTTAGGTAGTAAACAAAGCCCTTTCCAGAAAAAAAAAAGAAAATGAAAGAAATTCATTCTGGCATCACATGAATGAAACATGTGATACGCTTACTACCGTGAGAGAGTAGATTGGTAGAGCTCCTGTGATAGTTTTATTAAGGTGTTGGATGGATATTAATATCTGTTATGATAAAGTCTTCTAAGTTTTCTGACATTTGCATAGTAATACATTAATTTAAAGCCAATATATTAAAAATGACCTGTAAATGTCTTTTATGGTTGATTTTTAGCCACCAGCCGAACAGGCCAAAGCCAGACTACAGCTGGTTCTTGAAGCAGCTGGTAAGTGCTTAAGATTAGCTTTATTTAAATGAAAAAGTACTAAATAAATGCTGACATGCTTACAGGTGGGTCAAAGAGAAGAACACCTATTTTCATATGTCCTCACAAATTTATGAAATTGAGGTTATATGTACGGCCATATTTTGCATGAAGTTTCCACTGCTACAGTATAATGCTAAAAGGTCATTCTTTATCTTTTTATAAAAGATAAAATTGACTTCAATTTTAGTTTCATTTTTGTTGCATTTCAATTTATTTATTTTTCTCTTCTGTTGGCTGTGCTTTTAGCGGCATGTTTAAGAATTCTTTCCCAGGGCGCCGGGGTGGCTTAGTCGGTTAAGCGTCCGACTTTCGCTTAGGTCCTGATCTCGCGGTTCATGGGTTCGAGCCCCGCGTTGGGCTCTGTGCTGACTGCCAGCTCAGAGCCTGGATCCTGTTTCAGAGTCTGTGACTCCCTCTCTCTCTGACCCTCCCCTGCTCACACTGTCTCTCTCTTTCTTTCCTAGAAATAAATAAAAATATTTAAAAAAAGAATTCTTTCCCGGGATGCCTGGGTGGCTCAGTCAGTTAAAGCGTCCGACTTCGGCTCAGGTCATGATCTCGCGGTTCGTGGGTTCAAGCCCCGCATTGGGCTCTGTGCTGACAGTTAGCTCAGAGCCTGGAGCCTGTTTCAAATTCTGTGTCTCCCTCTCTCTGACCCTTCCCTGTTCATGCTGTCTCTCTCTCTCTCAGAAATAAATAAAACATTAAAAAAAAAAAAAAAAAGGAATTCTTTCCCTTACCCCACATCACAAAACATCCTCTGTGTTTTCTTCTGAAAGCTTTGTACTTTTACATTTAAGTCGATGATCTGTTTTGATTTAACTTTTGTACAAAATGGGAGTTTTAGATCAAGGTCTTCATTATTGTAAAGAATACAAGGGAAGTATAATTTAGTAATTTCTCTTATTCCGTTGGAATTGAAATGTTCTGAACACCATCTAATCTTAAAATACTATATATTTTATATATATTTTTTATTGTTCAGTGATACAGTAATACTGTGACTTTGATTTTATATATAATTCTCAGATTCATGTAGATGTTAAATATTTCACCTTTTTAAAAAAGGTAAAAGATTAATATTATATTTTCTAAGTACTGATATTACTTTGAATCATAATGGGCTCTTCAAAATGTATGTAACATATTTAAGTTGTCAAGACTAAGCATGAGGTAGGCTTAGAATGATATCACCAAAGTAGTACATATTTCTTAAAATTACTTACTTTTTAAATATTGTAAAGAGTTTATAATTTCCAGTTGGAATATGAGAATTCTATTTTAACATTAAAAGTAATTTCAGATTACCAAATGATAGTAGTTGTATTTTTAGTATTTATTGATTGAGAAAATACATATGTGCATATTGTTTCAGGGATTTCTTACATTAACTCCTACCCAGAGAATCTACAGTCTAAAGATGGGGAACACTAGTGTACATGTTATACTAGCTTCATAAATCAGTAATAGAAGTAACTTATAAAGGGGTAAAAATTGATAAATATTTTGACTATGAGTCTCTGTACCTCTCCATAGTACTTTAAAAGTCATTTAGGGATGCCTGGATGGCTGTCAGTTAAGGGTCCAACTTCAGCTCAGGTCATGATCTCAGTTTATGGCTTTGAGCCCCTCGTCAGGCTCTGTGTGGACAGCTCTGAGCCAGGAGCCTGCTTTGGACTCTGTGTCTCCCTCTCTGTCTGTACCCCTCTCCTGCTTGCGTGCTGTCTCTCCAAATTAAACATTAAATTTTTTAAGTCATTTATATTTTATGTATTAATCTTACTCATTTTATCTTCAATTATGTGGAAATTAGTTTCTACATAGTATTATAATTTTGCTTGCTATCTGGTTTTTCATATTTTGACTCCGATACACTGTAAGATTAAGCTAGTTAATATGATTCTCTATCATTTACATAATATACATTGATTCTTTAATTCTTTAGTAGCATTTTGCTTTGAAAAATTATTGCCAGTTCATAATTTGAATATGGACAATCTCTTGCTTTAAAGACAATATTTATGGTGCTTATTTTAGAAAATATTTGTTTCCATTAATACGACTATAAAGAATGTCATTTCACAGTTTTATACAGTTATCTTTATCTTTTAATATGATTTTATCTTATATTTTTTATTATATTACATTTTAATATGATTTTATATTGTAATATAAAACAGATCTTAGGGTTGAAACTTCATAGCGTTTAACTTACGTATACTGGTCCCAGCTGTCAGCCCTAATATTTTAATTTAACTTTCTAAATTCTATTATGGATAAAGAGCTAGGTTGCAGGAATTTGAGAAACATTGAAAATACTATGACAATCTAAAAATTAGAAAACTTACATTAGCCTGGATAATAAGCAAAGGACAGACCTTAGCTAGATATTCCATTCTTTTGTATTTAATAACATTGTCCCCAGCATTTCCCTCTCACCAATAACACTGTGATGCACATCCTGTTATGAATTGTGTTTTATATATTTTAGATAAGTTTCTTGGGATTGATTACTATATAAATGAGTTTATGAGGTTAGAGGGTATTGATATTTAAATTGGCTTTTTATGCATTTTTGCTAAATTGTTTTATAAAAGGACTGTGCTGCTTTATATTTCCACTGATTAAGTAAACATTTTAACCAGACTTTGCCTTTTGATGCCTATTCAATGAATATATTGCTTTATAATATGACGTAACATATCATACCCCTTTGAGAATCCTCTAGTATTGCTTTTAATGAGAACTTGTGGCCTTGGAAAAGGGAAGTATATAGATGGATAGGAGAGGGGCATATAACCAAATCTAGAATTTACTGACAAAGTTCTAGATCTTCTTCAGTGAAGAATTTAAGGTGTCCATTGTATTATTTAAAACAAGCAAATTAAATAAAGGAAGGGGAAATAAGACCAACTTGAGCTCAGCCTGCAAGTCTTGCGGTTAAAATCTAGTCTAGTCCTAAGTGTGAGGTACCCAGAGAGAAGGGCTGGTAGTACCCATTTTGTCACATTGAAGTTTATGTGGATTCTCAGGGGAAACATCCTTGACTTGGGGAGCCATAAAATCGAGTATAAGAAAAGACACAAGGCTGTATGTTAGATTCTTGAGACAGGATTTATTTCAGCTTTAAAATTACTATAATTTGGTAGATAAGGTTTGTATATAAAGAAATCGTGCTACTACTCAGTCCTCTATTCTAACTATGGTCCCAGAAGAAAGTTTTATATGTAAAAATTGCATTGTTACTGATTTATGAGTGAATGTTAATAATCCTATTCCTTTGGAACTAAAATATATTTAGAATATTTGGTAACACTTATTAGCGGTATGGTTTTGAAAGACATATGTATGAATAAAAATAACATTTAAGCAAGATGTAATTGTAAGGTGTGATGCATGCTTGGTTTCTACCAAACATGAATTTGAAGTCACAGATTTTGTTGTATTTGTTATGACCATATTTTTATACATTGACCTATATACTTGTACTTTGTTATGCTAAATCTTCAGATTTAGATAGAATCTTTATTCATATTTATTACTAAATTGAAATTGAAACCAACTTTAATGTCTCTTGTTTAACTTTTAAATCAGAGGTAATGTGAAGTTAAGGTTATCCAAGATTGCTTTTTTGTCATTTTCAAATGGCAGTAGGACACAGAAGATTGCAGAATTGTATAAATTTGTAAGACTGAATTCTTAAGTTATCACCTCAGCTAATGACTTACCCTATGATAATGAGTCAATCCTATTAACCCTTTGCATCATGCTTTCTTTCTTTCCTTTTTAAAAATGCTTTTACCATTCTCTCATTTATTAAGATACAAAACTTTGAAATTTTTACCTTTGACTTCTTACTAAGCAATCATTCACCTAGAATGAATGATCTTATTTTGAAACTTTTTTATATATCCCTTTATAGTCTTTCCTATTGCATCTCCTTAATCTAGATGTCAAACATTTCAGCCAGAGGTAATCCCTAACTTCCTAATAATTTCTTGCTTCAGTTCTCTTCTCCAGAGATGGTAATGAATAGTGGAAGAGTTCTAAGTCTACTTATACCACTTACCTTGAGCAGTCTGACTTTGAGCAGTTTCCCACCTCTAAGCACTTCAAAACAAATCTCAAAATTTCCACATGAGTTTTGTGACCATTCTAGCACATAATGTTTCTCTTTCTTGAATTCTTTCTGTCCTTGTTTGTGCATACTATTTATGCTGATATTTAATCACATATGGGTGACACTGATATTTAATTATTTCATAAGTGTTGAACTTATTTTCCTAACTAAATAATGAACATGATGAAGGCCAGGAAACAGATCTAAAACTTGTTAAGTCTTTTCCAACAGTTTTAACAGCACCTATAGTGAGTGGTACTATGCCAAATAAGATTCCAGCTATTAATCTTTGCTGAACAAGTCATTGTGAAGAAACAAATGATCTGGAAATAACTGAACATTAAACCGTTTAATACTACTATGCTCATTTTAACCACTTTGATGAATTTAAAATAAATGCACAAAAAGTTATCTGGCTTCTAAAGTATAAGAGGGTGGTCAATAATCTGACTTTTTAATCTTAAACTTTAAGATAGTGAATGACAGAAAAGATAATGAAACATGATTATCACACAGAAGAAGGAAGATAAAACTTGTCTCTTTTGCTCTCACTGTTGTTTGACATGTTAGTGTACAAACAATATTTGGGCCTTCTGCAAAAACACAGTATCATCTTATGCCATATGTGTTTGTAGGTCTGAAGAAGAATTTAAAGGAGAGATTTTTTTCCCCCAAAACATAAATATTTTTCATCAATATGAAACGATGACACTTCTTACAACATGGTTTTAAGACACATTGTTCTCGGGGCACCTGGCTCAGTCACTTAAGAGTCTGACTTCGGCTCAGGTCATGATCTTACAGCTTGTGGGTTCGAGCCCCGCGTCCGGCTCTGTACTGACAGCTCAGAGCCTGGAGCCTGCTTCAGATTCTGTATCTCCCTCTCTCTGACTTTCCCCTGCTCACACTGTTTCTCTCTCTCTCTCTCTCAGAAATAAATAAAACATTAAAAAATTTTTTAAAAAGACACATTATTCTCTAAAATCTTTTTAATATTTTACTTTTAATTAGAGTTATTGACACAGGCAGCCTTTAAAATTATATCTGTAACGTTATAAGAAAAAATGGAAATTTCCTTTAGTGCATGAATTATAAATCACCTTTATAATAAAATCTCTGTGTAATATTTCATTTTTGGAATAATGTTTACAACCCATTTTGATTTGCTTTCTATTTTTTAAAGCACTTTCATAAATCATTTGACTCACATCACAGCATGGAGAGCTAATTAACTCCATTTTACTAATATCCACAAAGCATAAATGCTCTGTAAAAGACTATGTAGCTAGTGAATGACAGAACCAGAACTCAGATCTAGTGATTTCTGACTCTTGAGCTATTTCTATCTGTAGTTTAAATCCCTAAGTTAGGCTGGGCAGAAAGAAGAATAATAGAAATATTACCAAATACATATTTTGGTTTGGTAGGTATAGTGCTATAGTTACCTTATAATAAAATAATTTCTATCCTCATGCAAGCCTTTGATTCTGAAATGAGTTTTTTCTTTTTTTTTTTTTTTATTTTTTTTAATGTTTTATTTTTTTCTGAGAGAGACAGCATGAACAGGGGAGGGTCAGAGAGAGAGATACAGAATCTGAAACAGGCTCCAGGCTCTGAGCTAGCTGTCAGCACAGAGCCTGACGTGGGCCTCGAACCCATGAACCGTGAGATCATGACCTGAGCCCAAGTCAGATGCT